CTTGACAACAGAAAAGCGTAAACTGTTTTATAAGTTTGGCTGTTAAATTCAGATTTGTAAGCCACAATATTCAAAGACTTTTAGCGCTGTTTACAGGGACCCCAAGATGGACTTGACTTTATAACCATGTGCTTTTTACATTTTTAGTTCATATTTATAGCGCTTTCAAGTTATTTGCTTAATAAAACGTATGCTATACATTATAGTCATCTATTGACTTTAACTTCTGGATTACTCTTCTTTGAACAAAATGAGGGGAATGAATGATGGTAAAGGCATGTAATTTGACTTGTCATCTAAGGATGATTATTTATGGCATCAGGAAATAGAACTGGACACTCTAGTCTGTCTCCAGGAAAGTCATCATTAGAGGCAACTTCGGAGAGTTAGGCTGTGTTAAAACCAGTGTGATCACACCCAAGACTCTGTTACTTTCTCAGTGTTTGTGAGAGGGAAACAAGACAAAGCATTTAAGAATGTTTTTCCATGTTCTTTAAAAAACAAGAGTACCTTACATGCATGTCTCGCATGTAGAGCCAGATGGTGGTATCGAAAACAATATATATGTCTTGTATTTTATATATAAAATATTTTGTATATATTTCACAAGTGTTTTCTATATATTCGATACATAATATTATAACAGTAAATAAATAAACATATATTCAGTTATGTAAATATTTCCATTAAATATATTTCTATATATTTAAACATGCATTTATTCATATGCATGTGTTTAAATACATATTTATATATAATAGATATATAATTTTATATATTATTTTAATATATTATCTATAAATATGTTTTCACATATTTAACATAAAAATGTAATAATATATAAAAATACAAAATATAAAATATATAAATATATTTTGTGTTTATAATATATACTTCTATATTTTAAATATTTTTATAATTTACAGATTTAAAATTATGAATAATATAAAAATATTATATATAAAACATTAGGAATACTATCACCAGAGTACCTAAGGGATTCTGAAAAATATAATTCACTGTATAATTATTTTCATAATCTTGTATTTATACTGTATGTACTCTCTAATCACATCATTTTAACTAGTTCTAAAAAGGCAAGAAAAAAATGCCTCTCTGTATTCCTTGGCATTCTGTCTTGGAAAGTGACAAGGTTTTGAGGTGAAACTAGAAATAGAAAATATTACCTTTGGTAACCTGTGAAAATTTAAATTGATTATGTGTATTATTTCAAAGCAGGCTTGAGACTGAAATTACCCTGAGAAGATTTTTTTTTTTCCTGAAGGATGTTAAGTGTCTCTTCAGCCTCCAATACTAGAACCCAGACTATGGGGCTTGCATAGCTGTCAGTTGGAGCAGGTCATATGTGACTGACAGTCACTGCAGTGACTGGACCTAGATAAAAACTGATAGGACATCACGTGTCAGCACAGTATTTAAGATGCTCGGAATGACTCTTCCAATCATACAAGTTTGAATCATCAGTTTATGCCTGATATTCATGGTCCTATAAAAGCATTTGTTGCTTGCATGGGTTCTCATGGCACTTGCAGTTTTTCCAAAATGATCTGAGGTCAATTATTCCTCTAAGATCCAAAAGTCTTGTACTTCACACCATGCTGTATTAAAATTACATAGGCCATGTGTGTTTTTATCCACAACGGTTAAATCCAGTAGTGCCATATACGTACTAGGTAGTCAGTTTTTGTTTGTTTATTTTTTCATCGTCTAGCATTACTGTCCAGGAATATAATGTGAGCCACGTTTGTAATTCAAAATCTTTTGTTAGCCACATTTTAAAAAGCAATAAGACATATGTTTTAATAATATGTAAATTTTTTAATAATATATTTATTTACCAAAAAATACAAAACATTATTGTTTCAACCTCTGGCATAGCCTGCATTTCAAGTGCCTAATAGCCCCAAGTGAGTAGTGGCTACCATGTTGGACAGCACAGATCTAAAGCAGTGCTTCTCAATTTTAAGTTCAGATACACATGGAAAATATATTTGTATAAACCACTGGAATAAATGGGCAAGACTACTCATAGCTGACAGGAACTGCTCCTGGGGCGCAGGCTGCATCATTCCTACTCAATTACCCTGAGTGCTGAGGACATCCTTAATGTAACCCTATACAATTGTTATGCCAGGCACAACAGTTGGCAATCTCCAGTCTACAGCAGTGGTTCCCAGCCTCTTTAAGTGATAGACTCTATAATAGTGGTTGTACTTTTAGGACCAATTCCTTTAATAAACAGCAGTTAGATACGAGGTATATGACAGATCAGATATTTGAAATATTATATATATGCATATATATAATAGGTAAATATATATTGTTTATATATGCTATTTACTATTTACTATATACGATGTATTATACATACTTTATACTATTTATACTGTATATATTATAGCAGATACCAGATAGATGATAGAACAGATATATATGTTTAATATACTTAAATATAACATAAATATATATACTATTTGCTATATATATCCATTATATATATGCTATTTGTAAAGAGATATATTATTAAAATAATATATATATATATATATTTGCTTTTCACAGTTTCTTTTTCTCAGTATGTGAGTAGACCTTCCACCACCAGTAAATGAGAACTTAAACAGATCCTATAACCTTTCTTATCATTTTAAGGCAGTGATTCTCAACAGGGAACAATTTCCCTTCCCCTCCCCCAAGGAGATATTTGGCAACGTCTAGATACATTTTTGATTGTCATAACGAGGAGGGGTCACTACTGGCATATTGAAAGTAGAAGCCTAAGAGGCTTCTCAACATCCTACTCATCCTGCACAGGACAGCCCCCTTCTACAAAAAATAATTGTCTCTTTCAAATGTCAATAGTGCTGGGGTTGAGAGCCCTGCTTTAAGGTAATATAAAATATTATGGTCCAGTTAATGGGCAAGTATTATCTCAATTTTGTATCTAATAGTGCCTAATCCCAGGTGATAGTCTAAACTCTGGATTTAATTTAAAATTAAAATTCCACTCTTCAGCTAGCTGGAAGGAAGGCAAGGTGTTTTCCTTTTTACTGTCCTTAGCTGTACGCTTCACCCCAAATCCTCATCTTGCTAACATGTTTACTACTACTTTGTGGTGAAAGCTAGGTGCAGGAGGATGCAAAAATGTTCTTACTTGACCAGCCATACTCTGAGCCAGGTTTATAGCAGACATTCTCCTGTGGGCACTTTTGTGGGTTCTTTGGAGACCCCATAATGGACATTTGACTTCAAGTCCTCTAATTCAGGCAATTAATTTTCTTCCAGTTGCAGTTCTCTCCTCTCTCTCTCTTTTTTTCTTCTGAGATCCTCCAGAGGGGTTAGGATGGTTCATGCCTAGCTTTCATACAATGATAACTTAGCAAATGTTTGGTATCCAATAGCTACTTTTTAAAAATTTAGTTGATTTAAAACCATTCTACTTTAAATGAGTAACTGACCTCCTGATATATTTTTCTCACTATCCATTCCTTCACCAATACTCCAATAAATTAGAGTATCAGATAAAAATCTTATGAGACTGTTCCTATATCCAGACTTGACCTTGGACAAGTTACTGAACTTCTCTGTCTCAGCTTCTTCCTCTCCAAAATGGGTAGAATTATTTTACGTACTTCAGAAGATCATTGAGAATTGATTCAACAAATATTGAGTGAAGATTTACATTTACATGCTGAACAATGTTTGAGGTATTGGGAACACATTTGTGAACAAAATTTACAAAAGTTTGCAAAAATCCCTGTCCACCTGGAGCTTACATTGCAGGAGAATTAAGTTAAATCATGTTAGATTTTAGAAACGTGTCAAGTATGTAGCAAGGTCTCAGTACATTTTACTATATTATTATTAATCCAATGGAATTATTGGTTTATTCTAAAATAGAGTTTGAGAGGCAAAGACCTCTATGTATCTAAGAAGGTGCCCCCCAATCCTCCCAACAACTGGGTTAAGACAAGGAAGGCCCAGCCAAGATCTATGATTTTATAGAAACAATGAATTCTTATCGGCCATAATAATAAGATACCTTGAATGTGTTTAGACACTATACTTAATGGAGATCCAGACCTTATGTGTTATGTTCATCATGGAATTCACAGCCTTTAGCATGGAGCCTGATAATCCAGAAACATTGAGCTAATATTTTTTCAGGAATGAATTTGACATACATCTAACTTTGAAGATAGAGCTTAGGATAGGAAGCAATGAAGACATTGAAAAGTGTGAGGCAAATTTGTTTCAGAATTTTTTCTAGAACTGGTGGTAATTTCACATCAATAAGAAAAATAGGGGACGCTTGGGTGGCTCAGTGGTTTAGTGCCTACCGTTGGCCCAGGGCGTGATCCTGGAGTTCCAGGATCGAGTCCCAAATCAGGGTCCCTGCATGGAGCCTTCTTCTCCCTCTGCCTGTGTCTCTGCCTCTCTCTCTCTGTGTCTCTCATGAATAAATAAATAAAATCTTTCAAAAAAAAAAGAAAGAAAAATAGGAAATATCTATTTGAGTTAACATAAAATAGATGATTGAAAAAATTATTTGGGCAGGCAGGACCTTTGAAAATGCCTGTATTACCTACAGGCAGTATATAATCTTAATTAATTGAAATGAACAATTTGAAGAGTTTTTACTCTAATTTAGATGGATTTTTCTTTGACCATAATTCTGTGTATAGAGACAGATAGGTGGAATTATGCAGATAAAGGTTATCACGTTAAATATGAGCAAATGAGAGGGAAAATAAATGGTGAATGAATGAAACTAACCACAGTCTCATTGCACATTCATGTGGCAACAGAGCCAATATTTTCATACAGGCAAATTTTTACTCATATGCTGTGTCTAAACAGAAGGGTTTGAGCTATTAATTCCAGTAGTTCCATAACTACTGCTTTCTATTCATATTTGAATAAAGTAATAATTATAAAGGAGACATTTACCAAAAGCTTTCTTTTTTCTTTTTAATCTCCAGTGTTCAGACTGCATCATAGTGCTTCCGATACAAGCGACAAAAACCGAGTTAAAAGCAGATTAAAGAAGTTTATCACCCGAAGACCTTCCCTGAAAACTCTGCAAGAAAAGGGACTTATTAAAGGTATAGGACATTTTATACTTTTACTGTAGCAATGATAAATGAATATGCCTCTGTGTCCATAGCTATTCAGCTCTAAAGAGATATTGGGATATTTTATTCTTCTTAGGTTGTTTATGGAATGTTCTGCTCTACAACAAAAGGGAAAAAAACAAAACAGTTGTCCAGAAAACTAATCCTGAGAAAATAAAGGTTGCAACGCAGTGTCATTGAAAACAGTACCTAGTTTTGCCCTCTGTGGAGCTGGGCTCTGCACCAAGGAGGGGGTGGGTGCTGGGTAGAGGAGGTATCCTAGGGGCTCATTAGAATGAACCCATGTCACCATGTGCCTGGACAATCCTGGTGCCCACCTATCATCCCAGCATGCTTAGTAGCAGCAGTCCTTTCACTCTCAGATGTGTCCTGATTTGGATAATAAGTTACCTTGTCACCCTTCTCTGAAGTGAGCACTAGGACAAAAGTCTAAGGCAAATTAGTGTCATGGAAATTTATAGATTTGGGAGCTGGAGAACTAAGCCCTCAATCGAAACTGGAATAAGTAGATATAATATGTATCTAAATATATCTAAAGTAAAGAACAAATTAGTCTAGACTGCCCTAGCCACCATGATAGCCAAACATAGACTCTGGCCCTAGACTAATCAGAATTCAGAATCTGGTTTTACCTCACCTCACTCGTATTGACATTGAGCAAGTTATGACCTCCTGAACACCAGATATCTCATCTGTTAAATGGGGATGCTCATACCCACCACTGAGAGGGCCGCTGAAAGAAATAAATGAGATAACCCACGTAACGCATTTAATAGAGTCTCTGGAAACATAAATATTAAACAAATGTTCTCTGCTATTAATGCTATTATTATTCACTACTGCTGTTACTGTTAAGGTGCCAAGGGGATGAGAAAGAATGAATGCATACATAGAACCAGTGATAAAACAGATTTCTATAACTGGAAATCACTTATAAATTACACAGGTAAAACATTATTTTCCTAACAAGAAAGTATGTGCAGCAAGTCCAACATTTTCCCTGTTTTTCTTTTTTTTTTAATTTTCTAACTGATGGATGTATTTTGCAAATTGAATATAAGAAGAAATTTGAACCTGGGCTAAAATATCTTTCTAAAATACATTCTGAGAACAAAATTGAAAGACTGATCCTTATGGGAGTCAAAAGGTGATGTAATGCCGAATCATTTCTCAGGAACAGGGTGAAACATATCTTAAGATTTTCAGCAATACTTAGCATGAGAATTACTTAAATAGGTTATAATAACTGTCTGTCCTATCAATTTCAGTTCACTTTTAAACAGGGGGACTTAGGGCAGCCCCGGTGGCTCAGCAGTTTAGGGCCACCTTCGGCACAGGGCCTGATCCTGGAGACCCGGGATTGAGTCCCACGTCAGGCTCCCTGCATGGAGACTGCTTCTCCCTCTGCCTGTGTCTCTGCCTCTCTCTCTCTCTCTCTGAGTCTCTCACGAATAAATAAATAAAATCTTTCAAAAAAAAAAAAAAAAAAAAAACCAGGGGGACTTATCACAAGAATCATCTGGCATTTTGAACCAATTGTGAAAGGTGAAATTTTATGAAGCATGAACATACATATCACTAATAGAGTGGAAAATTCTTAAAATGGAAGGATTTGGGGGTAGAACTAGCACTTGCTTTGGCAATCCTTGGACTCTTACTCTAAAGATGTCCTTTTCAGGGCCACCGACAGTATTGGATCCTCTACAGATTCAGCTTCATATAATAATATACCAGTACCTTCAGTTTTATCTTGGAATGCACTCCATCGATTATCATTTTCTTTGAGGAGATTCAGTTGCAGTTTACCTGCCACTTTGGGAAAAATAGAAAACCAAATTGAGCTCAAACAATCCCAATCTGAAATACAGTCCAAATTTTTCATGACCGTGGCAAAATGGAAAGGGTTTTAATTCAGTGGCAGGGTCTGGCTCCAATCAAAATACTAAAGCATTAACAACTACAGTGCTCCAGCCGTGGTCTCAGAAAGCAGCAGATGAACTGGATGCCTAATGCAGTTTTCATACTGATGTAATGGAACCACTGAACACACTCCGATGTGTACATTTCCTATCTTAGAGCTCCATTAAATTTCCACCATAGCTGACCCATGAGTCAGTATTCATTAGTAGGGCTATGGAAAATCTATGTGAAATTCTGATTTGATAAGCTTCCATTGTTGTCTTCAGTGGAATTTTCTTCCAAATACACATCAAGTTATGCAAATATAATCACTTCTTGGGCTTGTTTCAGTTTTAACTGTGAATTTTTAAAAAGCGTTTACTGATTTTTTTTTTTCTTTTCACTGAGTAAAAAGCATTAAACCAATTTTTAAAAATACAGGCCCAGTCAAATTTAGTACTTTCAGTCTATTTTCTTAGCAAAGTTAAGGCAAAGACTTAGAAAAAGCAATGGAATTGGGGTTTTTGATCAGTTATGAAAAATTATAGAAGATAAATGAATGATTAATGGTTAAATGCCTTCTCCAAGTAAAAGGACTTAACTCTTTCAAGGCGAAGAATTACTCAGAAAGAGAGATAATGGCCTTTAAAGTGGTCTTCTGTGTACCTGCCCACAAGAATATGTATCAAATTCTTTCAACTGTTGAATCTGCTAGATCTGGAATAAAGGCCTTCACAACATGATTCAGGAAAGCTGTGGTGACTGTTTGGGTCTTAAAAGTGCATTTCCTGACACCTGGGAGTGACTCTGCAAGGCCATAGCCACTTTTCAAAGTGTTTTTTACTCCTCTATGTAATGTTGCCAATAGGTTGAGAGGCCTAAGCTTTGAAATCAGCCAGCCTTTACTGAGCACCCACAATGGAGCAGGAAGGGCTGTACCTTCTTGACTTCATAATGCCCAGCAGAACTATATCCACGAAGCACTTTATCTGAAAGGAGACTTGTCCTAATATTACACAATCTGAACTTGGTCGCAAACCCTTTTTTCTATATCTGGTTTTTGGACTCACAGAGACCCGGCCAATATGTGATTTCATTGGCTAGAAGCTAAGTCTGGAAACACTCCCCTGATGGAGCTGCATTTTCTAATTTCTTTAATAGGACTAACAAGAAGGGTATATTACAATGGCAAAAAAAGGGCCAGCAGGTAATTGGATGGGCACTCAATGGAAAGAAATCTTGACAGCTCAAGTGGTTGTAGCACTCCTTGCATCATGGTGGTGATAGCTTCTGGAAAGCCTTCAGTTTCTCCAAGTGCTTTCACATTTGCCAAGGGAGTGGCAAGTGTATTCTAAATGTGTAAGTTTATTGCATTGAGCATCTCATCAGAAATAAAACTTGAATCAGTTTAATATGTAAATTATAGGCAAGAGGGTACATTTTAGAGTGGTAGGTATGTTTGTACATATTTTCTGCCTGGTTTTGGAACTGGATTAATAGCTCTTTAGTGTCAGTCAAACTACCTTATATAATCTTTCAAACAACAGCATTAATATCCAAGAATAGAAAACACTTGGCAATGCAATTTCTAGGAAGGATAGCAATTGTTTGTTTTTTTAGAAGCAATTGGTATTTCCTTATATCAAAGTGATAGAATTAGAAAGGATTGTATGTTTAGAAAGTAGTTTCTTTCATCTTCATGTGGATAAAACCATAATGGATGGTATTAGTAGAAATTGAAAGTAATTCCGTAACACTTTATTTTGTAATCACTATATTATAAAGGAAACAACCTGTTTAAAGATTCTATAGTGTGGATTTATGATGAAAAGGATTATGATACAGCAGGTCTTGGCCTTTCCATTGACTTTCTCTATAACATCCAATTAATTAAATCTCTACTTACTGCTCTAGTAACCATGGAAAACTGAGACTTCGTGCCTCCATTGACCAGACAAGAAGTTTAGTGTCCTTTCCTCTCTCATCCCCTCTTTCTTTGCTATTGTAATTCTTGCTTCTACATCATAAAAACTCAGTATTTCACAGCTTTCTATAATTATGACTCATTTATAGATTGGCTCTAAAAGCTAAAAACCAAAGAAACAGCATTTGTACAATTACAATTATGTAAGGTTGCTTACTGCAGCTTGAAGTACTAGATTTCATTCTCTATTCTTATAATATCATGACCTCTGTGATCTGTACAGAGTAATCCTCCTAGATCATGGTGAAAAAGACTCACATTTGAAGGTTGCATTAGTGCATTTATGCTGTTTCACGACCACAATCAAGTCCTCCACTTATCCCCCATATCTTGGATCTAAATGTGAAGAAAATCAGGCACCCACATTTACTTTATATTGACCATGTAAATATTCTGGAATCCCTGGCCAAGTCATGTGCTAGATTGGATTAACATATCCAATCGAATATGGGTTCGATATTATGACTTAATGAGCCATATAAATTAGAATGTTCTTATTTTTTTAAGTTTTTAATTTCAGTTAGTTAACATGCAGTGTTATACTAGTTTCAGAGGTACACTATAGAAATACAGCCCTTCCGTACATCACCCTGTCCTCATCACAAGTGTCCTCCCTAATCCCTATCACTTATTTAACCCATCCCTCCACCCCTCTCCTCCCTGTTAACCATCAGTTTGTCCTCTATAGGTAAGAATCTATTTCTTGGCTTGCTCTCTCTCTCTTTATAATCTTATTTTTGAAGCTTATGCTTCATCACTTCCTTACAATCATGCTATCTTTTAGTTTGATATATTTTTTTGTTGTGAATTTCTCGTACAGATTTTTTTCCCCACAGAGTTTCATTTTTTCCTTGTCTCTGGACCTTTATATCACCAAGGACTTCAATCTTCTCAAACAGTCTGTGTTTTCTAGTCTGTGACTCATGGCTTTTTTTTTTTCTCTAGAATATCTTCTAAACTCCTTCCATTACCTTACTTCATTTTGGATTGGTTGCTTTCTGGTCTTCACCTTTATCACTCTGTGATTCTCTTTTACTGAACTTATGAATTGTATTCACTGTCTTCTGAATCCATACCTTCTCTTTCT